ATACGCGTACCCTCCAGGTCCAGTTCCTCCTACGGGCGTCTCCAGCCCCTCGTCATCCACGTATCGTCCCCCGCCTCCTGGTCCGCCTGGAACGTACTTGCGCCGCTTGCTGGCTGGCGCTGAGTCAGATATGTGTCGCCGGGGCGGTCGTGTGCTTCTCACGCGTGGTAGTGGTGTGTCAGGAACAGGCGCCATGTAGAAAGTGCGGATGTGTCCAGAGACCCGCAAGGGTGAGGTTGGGCGATCGCGAAATGACGCGCCGGCGCCGGTCCTGTCAGGTGCAAGCTACGGCAAGCGCGTAATCACCCGGCAAATCGAGTGCACCGTGTTCATCGATTCGGGAGCCAGCGGTGGGCGATGGGCGGAGGGGCGTTGGCTGCGAGACAGGCGCGATACCGTGATGCGCCTGCTTGGAGGTGCGAGCTGGGGTCGACTAATGCGGCTAGTGTGCCAAGCAACATGTGGGCTACCTAGGCAGTTCGTCGCAGCTCCCGTTCACTGCACCCTACCGCGTCGTGTTAAGGCCGATCCGTCACTACCAAGCTCGGCAATCCAGTCGTCTCTGCCGACGTTAGTGACTATCACAACAGGTGTTTCCCGAGTCCGATTTGCCCTCACGTGCTACCGGAGTTCTTCCCATTTCACTCAGCCATCTAGAAGGTTTACTGAGTCGCTTTCCGCACAAGGGAATGTAAACCGATTAACAAACATCACTAGTTCAGGTTCGCATTCAACTTCATTTCATGAGTCGCGCAGCCGGGAACATCTGAGTTCCACACGACATCTTGTGTCGGGCCAGGGCTGCAGATCCCACTACCCCAGGTTTTCGACGTCACAAGCGAGCTGGTTCCTGCATGGACACAGTCATTGCGGCCTTGTTCGGCAACTTCATCACCTAGAGGTGTCAGCAGTGCTACCAGTCCACTAAACCACCCTGGCTACGATGTTAACAACAAGTTCCGGAGTATTCTTTTGCCGATCTTTCCACGTCTACTCACAATGCGCATCGTACCATTATCGGAAAGGAGTACAAATCTTTTGCAACCGTCGTTTGAACGGGGTATATGGTTTTCTTCCGCTGCAGCAAGCTCGATGCTCATCGCGCATCTCTCGCGTAAGGCTGTCTCCATATCGACTATGTAGGCGCGACGCTGTACAAACAGTATCCTTACTTCCACACCACCAGATAGACAGCGCCTGGATCAACTCCGACTGATCTGACTGTACTGCATTCAAGACATGGAATACATTGCGCAAGCCCTATGACATGGCTCGCCTACAAAGTAAGAAGACGCCCGAGGCGCTCGTGTCAGCATCATCGAAACTGAGATAAGGCACCAACATTGGAAGCCTCCCTTGTGGCACCACCCGATACTTGCAAATCATAACCATTTAGATCAATACAACACGGCTCATACAGTAGCAGGCTAAATTATATGGCCCAACAGGCGTCATCCAAGAACAATAGTAAAGCCGGCAGTGATTCGAGTCACGACCATCCCTTGCTCTAGGCCTCGGACCTAAGACCCAGTGTTTCCCAGCGCAACCCTTGCATCAGCATCGGAGAATTCATTATGGCAGACGAAGATTCCACATCCCCAAAGCCATTTCGGGTCATTGTTATTGGCGCCGGTATTGTCGGCTTGTCGCTCTCACACGCTCTACAACTAGCCAATATCGACCATGTCGTCCTCGAAAAGCACGACAAGATTGTTTCACTAAAAGGCGCAGCGCTGATTATCTGGCCGGCTGTCGCACGCATCTTCGACCAGTTTGGTATTCTCGATAGAATTACCAAAACGACGTCGCCTGTTGATGCATCTTACAAAAGATGGCCAGACGGGAGTTTGATCTGTCGCGATGATACTATGCAGGCTGTGAGCAAACTGTATGTTTCCATGCTCTCGAGATATGTGTTAAGTGGGTGCATCACGCGCTGACTTCACGATAGCTTCAAAATACCGAGTATCTTATTCGATCGCCAAACTTGCGTGTCGCACCTATACGAGGGACTACCGGACAAGTCCAAAATTCACACCGGTAGGCGCCTTGAACGTATCGAGCAAACCGATACGGGTGTTCGTGTCCACCTCGCCGATGGCTCTACCGAAGAAGGAGACATGGTCATCGGCGCAGACGGTGTGCACAGTCATGTTCGGAAGCTCATGTGGGAGTATGCCGACAAGGTCGAACCAGGCGACATACCCCAAACCGACAAAGAAGTCATGTCGTTCGGCGAATACAGAGGTTTGTTTGGCGTCAGCACGCTACCGGACAATGCTCAACTCGGCACCTCCAATACGAATATGATTCTCGGTCAAGACGTGACCATGCTTCTCTTTTCGCAGATGGGCAGGGCTATGTGGGGCATCACTTTCAAAGACGAATTTCAAAAGGCAGAGCAGAAAGGTAAAGCTACTGAAGCAGAGATTGAGGCGGTGGCGGAGAGATTCGCCGATCTTCCTATGACAAAAAACATCACATTGGGCGATGTGTGGAAGACAAACGAACGACACGGTCTTCTCTACGTCGAAGAAGGGGTTCTGAGTAAATGGCATGCCGGGCGCATAGTTCTCGTAGGAGACTCAGCACACAAAGTACCCCTCCCACACTCGTCACCAGCAAAACGCATCACTAACGCAATACCAGATGACAGCCGACCTCGGCATGGGCGCCAACATAGCCGTCGAGTCCGCCATCCACCTCTGCAACATCCTGCACCGCGAATTCGCCTCCAACCCCACCCGCCGCATCTCCACCCCCGATCTCGCCACCTTGTTCGCCGAATACCAAGCCGGTCGCCACGCACGAGCAAAGGAATACGTCGAGACCAGCGGCAAGCTCACGCGTATGAACAGCTACCAGTCACGCTTCAATTACTTCTTTGCTGGGTATTTGCACAAGTACATTGTGCCGTCTCAGAAAGCAGGGCTCATCGAATCACTGAGTGTTGCTCCTAAACTGGATTACGCGCCGACGAGGACGATTGACGAGAGTGCTGAGGGGTGGCACTGGATGGAGAAGCAAGAGATGAAGAAAGGGAAGAAGGGTGGTTGGTTCAAGTACATGGTCTTGACATCGGTTGTGGGGGTGACTGCTGCGTATATGGCGCGTGCGGGGGTACCAGCGCTGCTGATGAAGTTGACTGTGTAAAACGTTGCGAATTGAGTGTAATAGTCTTCTTTCCCTTTTGTCGGCTTCGCAAATTACTGTCTTTCCAGCTCCGGCCGCGTATAGCAAATCAGCCCTCATTAAGTCCTCCATGACAAACACAGTGGCTTCCCGTGTTCCGTGCAAGGGTACTAGATGCATAATACGGCTTCAAACACTTCCAGCAAAAGTGGACATGGCATTTCGCACCTAACATATTGATCAGCTTTACCGTCACACTCCGAAACCCCTACCTCTTCTCCTTGTAAAGGAAATATATACGTACATTCCATATGATCACACCCCTTATTCTTCTCAATCGGCCTCTTACACCCCGGACACGCCTTTGTCGTCTTCTCCACCACCTTCCTACTCGCTTCCTCCTCTTCCTTCTTCAGCTTCCCATTTGTTCTGTAGTCGTACTCTGTGCACGTCTCTCCTTTATGCCAGGCTACGTTGTGAACGACACAGGACGTCTTTTCGCAGGTGTTGCACCGGAATTTGGGGGTGTTGGGTAAGTGCACTTGGCCTGCTTTGCAGCCTTTGAGGGGGCACCAGTGGAAGCCTAGGCGGGCTTCTTGCTTGGCGCGGGAGGAGAGAGCGGCGTAGCTGGTTGTGTTGTTAGTGATGTGTTTATTTGGGTGGGGATGTGCGGGGTGTGGAAAGGGAGTAGGGAAATGGAATCGTACCGTTTGAAAATCTCTTTTGGCGCAAACTCTCTCATATCAGCCGATCGCAGTTGCGTTTTACATATAGGGCATGTTATGTCGTTCCAAAGTTTTGCGCTGGACTCAGATGCGATCCATGTGCGAAGACACTTGCGGCATACGTCGACTTCGTGCTTGCAGTTCTTGGTAGGCGGCCGGTCGGGGAAGTGGTGCAGTGAGAGTGCATCTGTACAAACTGCGCATTCTCTCTTTTCTTTCTTCGGTTGATGCGAATCATTCTGGTGGTGATGGCTGTCTACTCGGTGGATCGACTTTTGTTTTGTACTGCCGCTCTCGGCTCTTTTGCTGGACTTTGGCTTGTGTGGAGTTTCTTTCTTGGTTCGATGCTTGTCGGATGTTGATGTACGCTCTTTCTTGGCTTTGCCTATGGGTATTACACGGGTAGAATGGGATACATGTGAAGAGGCCGACCTGCGGTCTCCGCGTCCAGGTCTGGCTGTCACGCTGTTGGAAGCTGCCTGGCTATACCGATGTCGTCCGGTTGAGTCTGCGTCAGAAGAGGAACTATGGCCGCTTTCGTAACTCTTATTAGATTTTGACTGTCTCGATTTCAAGGCGACGACCTTTCCACGTCGCTCATAAGCTGCTTGGATCGTTCTCTGACCGCTCCATGACTGGCCCATGGTTATATTTGGTGTACAAGGAAGGCGTAGGAGGTCGAATAAGGATGTTAAGCGTTGTTGAAAGTACTTCGATGCTGCTCGATAGCCAGTATCGGTGGAACAGAGTGCTTGGGATGAGTATAGGTAGCCTTTGCGTGGCGGTGCATCCAGACCGGGGTAAGGTCTGCGGTCACGTCGTGGCGGGCGGTGCTCTGGCACCCATGAACTGCATAAATGGATAAGAATTCGAGAGCAGTTGCACAAGTTGGCAGATGCGTGTCGATGTGAGTGTCATTGTGCGCGGGGTCAGCCCACTGCAACCCTTGGAACCGGTCACCAAACCGGTGAGTAAGCTTGTCGGTAATTGGTTATCCACCCTGAAGGACTGGATACTTCCAAGAAGGCTGCAAAACAGTCTCTAATACACTCAGACATGTGCCATGATAGCCGATCAGCCTACTAAGTGACTTCGGAATGTAAAAGCGTTATCCTGTTCTAGTGCTGCGCCACGCTGTCGCGTTCAACGGTAGAACCAACCCAACTCATACCGATTGCCGTAACAGTCGAGTTCCCCAGCTTCTGAATTTGCCGGCTTCCTTAGGACCGTAATATCCCCAGGCCAGTACCCCTCTACATCGGGTTCAGCCTTGCCCATCTCCACTAAATTATTGTATGCGGCCTTCCTTTCTCGCCGAAACTTGCCAATCTCACCCACCACATCGATGAGCGGAATTGCATCATGAACATCTTTACTGGGGTCCACTGGTGAGACGGGATTGCTAGGTGCAAGCTCCAATCCGCTCATAGCTGCCAAGGGCAGACTGCGGCCTGGCTCACGACCAGGCTGTCCACACTCTTCATCGTCGAAGAAGGAGAAGTCATGCGTTGCTGCCTCCCAAAATGCTTCAGAGTCCGCATCTTCAGTAGTTGACTTTGTTGGATAAGCCCGCCAACTGGTAGAGATTTTCTTAGGCGCTGACTGTGGGGCCGCCATCTCAAGTACTACTCTCCGAAGGGCAAACTGGTTTCGTGCATACTCTTCTTCTGCTATGGCACGCCTACGTCCTGGCGGTAGCACATAAGTGTGCCTGGCCCGTTGCTTGGCGATTGAAGCCTCCTCGGCTGCATCCTTGATGAACTGTATAATCCGATGAACGATTTTCCTATCGCTGGTCATGGTCGGCACATCTGTTAGAACGAGAGTGTGAAGCTTCGGAAGCATCCCAGGATTTAGTCGAGGTTCACTTGCTTGGCGAAAGTCCAGTCGGACTTTTCTGTCCTCGATGTAGTAGAACGAATTGCCTCGTGACCTCGTCGTAGTCTTGGGGGTCGGTTGATCCAGTGCACTGCTGCCGTGGGTCGGCGTAGACGATGAAAGACGTTCTCCAGGATCCTGTCTGTTTGCAGCTGCGTGAGGCTGGTAGATCCCGTTTCCCAGTGGGCTAAGAGGGCTCAATGGCGAGTCTACAGGTATGACTTCCGGAGCGCAGGCAGGATCCCGGTTGATTTGTAGTGATTGTGGAGTAACGCATATTTTAGGAACGTTTTTGGCGTCTCGTCTTTCACCATCGGGAAATTCTGATTCTGGCCTGTCGTTTTCAGCGAGTTGAGGCGTTACAGGTGAGCCGGGAAGCTCAACCGGATATGATGAGTCCCCTGAAACCTCGTGTACAGCTAATGGGATGGAGTCGAGTTCGGGTGTCGGTGGCTCTACAGCTTCGAGCTCATGCGCATTTGGAGGTTTGTAGATAGCGAGGTCCCCAGTGAGTTCCGCGCGCGGCGAATTGGGCGTTTCCAAAGGGGCGTCTTCTGTTACCAACTCGTAGTTGATCCGCAAGTATCGCAGTCTAGATGAAGCATACTCTGCAAGTATTGGAGTAAGTTTTGATACGCTAGGTAGTTCCAAGTCATCATTCGGTGTTTCGAGCGTGAGGTTAGACGGATGCGTCACTACAGCGGGTAGTATACCCACATCTAGGACTTGCAAGCGTCTTGATCGCAGCAAAGCCGATATACCTTCAACAGTTATTGCATTACTGGAGAGATACAAGTGCGAAACTCCGACATCGCTCGACTCCTCAATGCTTAGACTGCCGATGAAGCCGCCTGTAAGCTTTTTGCGAAGATGGCCAACGAGGTTTTCAGATTCAAAGGTCTCTGGTCCATCGGTTGGGTTGGCGTTCTCGACAGGCGCCAGTGGTCCACGAGAAGAATGCGTCACAACAACCCTCTCTTTCAAGCACAGTTCAAGAAGGAGTCGCACGCTAGTGTCGGTCAAAAGGTTGTTGCTGATATCAAGGCTTCTGACGCGGCTGCTGATTGCATGCGCAACTACTGAGAACTCCTCATCCCTGATGCCAATTCCGCGAAGATTCAGCACGCGCAGATTTCGGAGGTACTTGAAGGTGGAAAGAACCGCCTTGTCTCTCGCGGCTGCAGTCTTTGATAGATCCAGCGAGACAAGATCTGGAAAGTGCGGTAAAGCTTCTGCAAGGCCCATCGATGTAGCATTTGTACAGCTGGAAGCATCTAGTAGGCGTAGGCTGAACACCGGATATGCGTTGGGGCGAGTCAACCTCCATTGTAGGCTTGAGTGTCGCAGGCTCAGAAGACATGCGTGATCGAAGAAGGGCAGGCCGTCCACAATCAGGCACTGCAGACGAGGTAGGTGTTCCAAACAGTCTCGAAGCCATTCTGCGTGAGGTCCATCATACAGCTCTGCATGAGCCGGCGGGAATCGGAGAGTATGTGTGAGCTCTCTTACAGAAGCTCGCGCATAAGGTAATGTACGCTTGAACCGTGTGAGTGCCACTATTGGATATCAGTATGTATCACTGTCTCCGCGCCTTGATAACCCACCATATACAGTATCATTCTGGACCCCAAAGTGTGAAGCCGGGCTGCCCCATAGGTTCGGTGTGAAGGTCTGGTGCCATTGCCGGTTGACCAAAGCTGCTGAGCAAAGGTCTTGAGAGGGCAGATAGGGAGCGATGAGCACCCAAGGATCGCGTCGCATTACACTTTCGTAAGATGGAAGGAGATCGTCCATGGTTATGAGCGAGTGGAAAGAGCACTTGTTGTTATGGCAAGTTCCATTAGTCGCCACTTAAGGTTGTGGTGGAGACCGGAAGGAAAGGCGCATGCATCTCTGTGGATTGCGACGAAGGTGAGGTGTGCGTGCGCATCTTTCCGTGGATGCTGGCAGCTGGCAGGGCTGACTGGTGAGGCTGTGCAAGTGTTGCAGTTTGCCGGGTCACAGCTGCGATGATGCAACACCTGGCCTGACTAGCCCGATTCGGCTACCAAGGCTTACATGCATCTGGCGACAGCAGTCACGTCTAAATTTCGCCGTTTATTGAACAATGAATTGCTATGCGATAAATCTATCAAACACCATCTTGCCTCTCAAGAGGTGACATCCATAATCTCACTTGCGAACTTACTCCTTGCTCTAATTCTAGGTCCGTAGAACACCAGAATCCACGGCACAATGGTCAACAACGCGCCAATCCCGCCAAGCAGACTGCTCGCAGGACCATACCCAAGCTTATTATACATTTGGGTCGTGATGAGTGGGAATATGCCACCTAAGATGATATCAGTATGCATCCAGTCGTGATGAGATGGAGATGACTTACCAAGCATATTCCGGCAGAAAGACTGCGCCGCCAGTGCCGAACTCGCATAACGATGATACGTGTCTGCGAGGAAATTGAAGGTCGCCAGGTAGATACTGAAGATGCCAACGGTAGCGATACCGATCGCAATTGCGGGTACAACCCAATGTATGTCGGGGAAGCTCGTCCATCCGAACATGAAGAGGCCGATGGGCATGCAAGCGCTTTCTATGCAAGCGAAGTAAAGGCGACCTTCTGGTGTGCCGGTCAACTTCCCGCTCTTCTTCGCAATCTTCTCTTGGTAGATGGATAATATGGTCGACAGGATGCTGGCTATACCCATCGATGCAAAGACTGCGTTGGCCTGTTGTAGCGAGAAGCCGTGATTGCTCTGAAACACTAGCGGAATTGCCGCCAATGTGAGGTAGAGTACGGCCCAGGAGAAGGCTACCCAGAGGGAGAACCAGAACACGACAGGTTCAGTGAAGAGGAGATGAAATGGACGGTAGAGGGAAACGCCTATCATCTTGCCAAGCGATGCTCGTTCTTCATCTGATCGCACCTTCCACCTCAAACGCAGCGACTCCATGGATCCTGGCTTTTCGGTGTTGTTGACATTAAAGCCGTAATATCCGGACTGCTCGCGTGCCTCATACCACTTGTTCAAAACTTTGGCTTTCCTGGACAGGAGAACCGAGCCGCGGGTCTCCTTGAATACGACACAGATCAGTACCACCACCGCACCGCATGAGATAGCCTGTACGTAGAAGATCCACCTCCAAGTCGTGTTCTGCGCGATGAAGCCACAAACTAGAGGGCCCCATGATGTACCAAAGAGTGCAGCACCTGAGAAGAGAGCCATGGGGGTGTTCCGATCCTCAGCATGGTAGATGTCTGAGACCACGCCACCAACCATAGTGGAGAAGGTAGATCCGCCCACGCCCAAGAAGAAGCGTGCGACGAGCATTCCAGCATATGATTGCGTGAGGCCAGAGCAGAGCTGGCAGATGACGAATAATATGCCTGAAGCGAGGAAGACTGGCCGGCGACCGTTGATCTCCGAAAACGGGGCAAGAACCATCGGTGCGATAGCGAATCCTGTGGTGAAGGTCGTGATGCCGACCAGCGCTGCAACACTGCTGACGCCCCATTCCTGCGTCATCTGCTCAACACCGGGGCTGTAAGCGCCAGCCGAGAACGCTGTGAGAGCGGTGATGATGCATGAGACACATATCGTGAATCTCTTTCTTGTCTCTGACCAGTCGAAAGGGTTTGTGTATTTGACGAGGTTCGGAGGTTCAGGTGGCGCTTCTTGGTCGGTTTGAGTCGGATATATCGTGGTCGCGTGTGGGAGTTCTGTGTCGAATGTGAGATAACGCCAAACGATTTCTGAGTCCTGCACGTTCTCTTGCGGTATGAACTCGCTACTGGTGCTTTGTTTTCCATAGTGGGAGTCTGTCTCTGGGTCGTTATCTGGTTCTGCTGTGGAATTTCGATCCCTCGGTTCCTCTGCGGAAGGCGTGCGCATATCCGGCAATATGCTTATTCCCGCTTGGCTTCTTGAATCTGCGCACTCTCCGAGCTCAGAGTCTCTCGGGAGGTTGATCTCCGGATTTGCACTCATGCTGCCATAAGGTCCTTCTCTTCTGTTGAAATGTCGAAGAGCTACACCGAGGATTTCGCAATGAACGCGTCAGAGTCTAAAAGCAAGCGTGAACCCGGTGACGCTGAAAAGCGCGACCTTCATAGCTTAAGCGGCGGTTAGGTCTGGTCCGCTAACCCACAGGCGTAGCCGATATGCATCCCAACGAACAACTGGACGGTGTGGGACGCCCGGTTCTCTCCCGACGGGATTCGTAGAAATCGTTTGCATTGGTCGGGAATAGGACTCCTTCTCCATCTTCCAGGCCCACATGCATGGGGGCGTCCCGCTTCGGGGTAAACTTGGGAATTTATCGTGTACACCGACATGCCAAGGCCGCCTCGAAATCTCTGGCTGCTGGAGCGCGTGCAGAATAGGGTAGATCCGGTGCGTCATGCGGGAAGGAGTCTGGCGCGCCTCAAGCAAAGGCATCTCGACTCGGACAAGCAAATGGCTCCCCGACATCATCGGCGGGAAGTATCGGCACCTGGGCAAAAGCAAGCAGCCTCATCGTCACTCAATCCTGTGATAACCAGCACAGATATGCATCGTGTCCTTGATGAGTCGCCGCAAGGGTTCCAGCTCGGAAGTTCGGCCCAAGTTCACTTTGGGGTTTCAGGCGAGAAGAAAGAGGACCCTGCCGAGGTTGCCCATGTGAAGCTAGGAGGGAGTAGCGACGTTGGAGCGCGTATGTAACGTATGGAGGTGTAGTCAGGTGGCTACCTAGGTACTCGCTGTGTATGCTACAAGCGTGACCCCGCGACATTAGAGTTCGCGCGACGCGTGGGAACGGCGTGTGTGTTCAGGCGGGCAGTCACGAAATTCTTGCCGCCATGAAGCTACCCATCTCAGAAGAGTTTCGCGTAACCTCCGCACTGCCAGCTGCTGCTAATGTTTGTGAAAGCGCACTTGTTGGAAGAGCGCGACTTCCCCAATCGTTCGGTTGAGCGACACGGCCAAACATCCCGCCTCGATATCCATGGAGGCTGCTGTATCCCAATGTCGCAATTGCATACTGATCACCCAGTCTCACACGGCAAACGACAATGCGCGCAGTTGATGCACAAAGCTACCGAGAGATTGGATCAAGCAAACGCCATATCAGTCGTTGGAACGTCTGCAAACGCTCTGACATGGTTCGGAGCCTATTCGAAGTCTGATAAGTAGGGATATCGCTGAGAAATCACCAACAACAACATCATTGGCTTCTACCTGCTTCCAGTTGCGACGAATGCTCGGCAGGAGGGGCAACAATTGGCAAGCGATACCGCCGGAGATGTCGAGTCTGTGATTCGTCCACTGCCCAAACGACGTGGGCAAATTCAATGGCAGAAAAAGCTCTGGTGGAGTTCACGTGAGATACGTGACGATTGCGCAATATACGCTAGCTGGAAGTGTTGGTCGTTCAATGTTGTGTATGGCCTTACAAGAGGACAAAAAGGCATCATCGACCCCTCAACTTCTTCTCTCCCTCATAATACCGCTCCAACATCCCAAATTACAACTAGGAGATACCTCGATATCTACCACAGTCCCACTCAGACACTAAATCACACAACCAGGTACGTTGGCTGCTTGCGACCTACCCCGCCACCCCGCATGTTTGCGCAAATCGCTGGGACCTGAGCTAACATGGGCGCAAAAGACACAATGAGCGACCGACCAGAGCCTCTCCGTCTGGGCAGCAAGGCCCCCAACTTCAAGGCCGAGACGACCCAGGGCCCCATCGACTTCCACGAGTTCATCGGCGACAACTGGGTCATCCTGTTCTCGCATCCCGAGGACTACACCCCCGTATGCACAACTGAGCTCGGCGCTTTCGCAAAGCTCGAGCCTGAGTTCAGCCGTCGCGGTGCTAAGCTCATCGGTCTCTCTGCCAACACCGTCGACTCGCACGATGGCTGGATCAAGGACATTGACGAGATCTCCGGCAGCAAGCTCAAGTTCCCCATCATTGGCGACAAGGACCGCCAGATCGCGTTGGCATACGACATGTAGGTAGAGATTCGTTGCGACCTACGACTCGCGACATGGCTAACGACATGAACAGGATCGACCACCAGGACGCGACCAACGTCGACAGCAAGGGCATTGCCTTCACCATCCGCTCCGTCTTCATCATCGACCCCAAGAAGACCATCCGCCTCATCCTCTCATACCCCGCCAGCACCGGCCGCAACACAGCTGAGGTTCTCCGCGTTCTCGACAGCCTGCAGACCGGCGACAAGCACAAGATTACCACCCCAATTGTAAGTTTTGACTGTACGAAGTGCATGTGCGACATATACTGATTTCGTACCAGAACTGGATCCCTGGTGACGACGTTATTGTCCACCCAGCCGTCAAGACCGAGGATGCTAAGACTATGTTTCCCGATATCAGAATTGTGAAGCCTTACTTGCGCTTCACTCCTCTCCCGTATGCTGAAGCCCCAAGATCTACATGAGACATGCGCTGACTTGTACTAGTAAGGAGAAGACCACCGCTGCTTAGAGGGCCCGATACCGACGACGCGACACCACGAAACGAGATAGCCTTAGGGCTCATACCCGTCTTGTAGCGGTGGACGCTGGGCGAGATTGGATAATGAGAAGGCACAGTAGATAGGCCAGTCTACGATTAGATGCGAAAAATGAAATGGCATGATCACGACAGAAGTCTATTCATGTGCTCGTCCTTTTCAGGTCGCTTCTGGAGATTGTGGTGTCGTAGAGCGGTCTGCGCCGGACTATTAGTCCCTGTGGTAATGATACCGCATGAGCAACACTCGCATCTTGAAAGCGTGCCGCTGTTGTATGACATGCCGCGAGCTTACCTAGTTGGGTAGGCACGATGGACAAGCATCTGCGATGTCTACGAGGATACTGACTTAGGCTTCCTGTGATTTTAGACACCCAGATGATAGTTTCATGTATGCGCAGCTTGAAGAACGAGAGACTCGGAACACATGAACGGCAGTATTGATGATTCCACGTCGCGTTCAATTGGTGCTGCTGATTGCGGCCCCCAACGCGCCGCCACGTCCTTGGGCGTACGCCGCATGCCTGCTGATGAGCAGCCCACCTCCGTTTCTCTGCCTCGCATGTACAGTTTCATCGTATAATCAACAAGATGCCAGAGATCACATTCGTGTTTGGACCGCGCAATAGCTTTTTCTTCGACTGTCGCCAAACATGGAAGTTGTGAGTTGCGCATGCTGGTGAGGAAGGCGCGGCTAACAGAGTGCAGCCACGAGATACCGCAGACGCTTCGCCAGTTGTTCAAGAGCTCTATGAGCAATCCATGGAGAGTCGCAAGCCCTTACTGTCTCGCGCTTGCGCCCCAGGGAGATTCTCCAGAGCCGATTTGGTATATCGGGTGTAAGACGTTGGATGGGGAGGACAAGCTCTGTAAGTAGCACCCCGGCCCAGATTCCGCGACCATGAAACGCATGGCGATGACGGCGCGGGCCAGCCCCATCGCACCTACCAAGCTAATCAGAACCAGTCCACTCACGGACCTACTTCGATCTCAACTATCCCGATCTCGCGCAGTGGCTGAAGTCGTTCCCGAATGCAGCCAGCTTGTGCTTCGTCACCTTCGGCCAGAAGTTCAGCTACTTCGCATGCGCACCTGGACAGGGCTCGATATGGGCTGCTATACCTTCAGGTCTCGAGGATAGAGTGAAGAAGTCGCTGGTCACGCCGACTTGTGTAGGCCTTGGGATGAAAGATGCCTGGTTCGTTCTGTTTGCGGATGGACATCTGGCTTGGAACTTCAACGGCTATTACACTGGATTGAACAAGATCTTGATGGAATCTGCGCCGGGTGCCGTCAGTGTGAGTTCAGGAAACATCCTTCTTCATGGTGACATCGAAATGACGCTGATGCAACATAGTATGTCGCTATCTCGCCCTACAACAAGCAGCACTACTTCATCGCCTTCACAGACCGCCGCGTCAACTACAATTTCCAGGGAGGCCCTTCGGAATGGACGCGACTTATGAATCAAGTCTTCGAGTTATGGGCCGCTGAAAGCAAACGATTGCAAACTGCCAACGCGCCACGTTGGCATCAGCCGCAGGTACAACCGTATGTGCATGTGCAACCATCGCCAGCGCAAACATATCTTCACCCGCAGTCGACACACATCGTCAGTGCTTCTCGACTACCAATGGCCATGCCGGTGTCGCCAACATCAGTGCCGAGTACGCCGGCGCCGATGTACGTCAGCCCTGTGCAACAGAACGCCGTACCAGACATCGCGCCCGTGGATAAGACGCCGGAGTATGGTGTTGTCGATGTACCAGTAGAACTTCCTGCACAAGCAATGTTCTCCCCGGCATATACGATGGCGAGTGTACCAGAGAAAGAACCAGCGAAGAAGAGGAGAAGCTTCTTATCCAAGCTGTTCTAGGCCAACATCATGAACATTGCTGGACTCCGCCTTACTTCTCACCATCTCCAGTATCTCATAATGCTGTATGATAGCGAGCAAGAGTCGCAGCCTACTTGTGCCGGCATCCTCGTCGGTGCGACTACACATGCAGCTCCGTACTTACCTTCCTGATTGGCGCGCACAGCCGAACGTGCAGGTGCACCTCTGCCGATCACCACGGACATGCATATCCACCACAAGAGTGGGAGAGCCATCACGTCACGATGCAGGGTCCTTTCGGTGCTTCTTAAGATACGCCCTATCATTGCTAGCTTTTGGAACACTGCCAGCTGCAATATACAAGTAGAGCTTCTCCCCGCTTTCGTTTTCTCGCGCATTCATCTCGACAGGTAGTCACCAGCATCATGGCAGCTATTGCAAGAGCTTGGAAAGTGGGGGCGCTCACAACGTTCTTTCTGGCAACGATAGCGCATGCTACTGAACCCACGGTCACAGTGCTGAATGGAACATACGAAGGCGTACATCTCCCTTCGTTCAATCAAGACATCTTCTTAGGCATCCCATATGCGCAAGATACAGGAGGTCAGAATCGCTTTCGCATACCGCAATCATTGAACACGACATGGAATGGCACGCGCCCTGCCAAATCTTACGGAGACAGCTGTCCGGATCCCTCGGCTGCCAACTTCAGCATGAGCGAAGACTGCTTGAGCATCAACATCGTTCGTCCAGCGGGTCTCTCACACAACGACTACGCAAAGCTGCCCGTTGCGCTATGGATCCATGGAGGAAGCTACCAAGTCGGCACCAGTGCGCTTGCGAACTACAACCTGACATACATTGTTCAAAGAAGCGTGGAAATCGGCCAGCCCATCATTGCAGCCAGCATCAACTACCGCAAAGGCGGATGGGGTATGTTATACTCGCGAGAGATCCAAGGTACCGGCCAGACGAACCTTGCGCTTCGAGACATGCGCAAAGGACTTGCTTGGATCTCAGAGAACATTGAAGCTTTTGGCGGCGACAAGGACAGCGTGACTATCTGGGGCGAGTCTGCTGGGAGCTTCGCAGTAGGCCAGCTACTTATGTCGTACGGCGGACGAACAGACAACTTGTTCCACCGCAGCATCCAAGAGTCTGGGTCTGCGGCGACGGCATGGTACAATGGCACAGACTGGTACCAGCCTATCTACGACAACATTGTCGACAAGGCGAACTGCACAGATGAGGTCGACACGCTCGCCTGCTTGCGCACACTGCCATACGAAGCCATCTTCCCCCTCCTCGCAGCCCCAAGCCAAGGCCCAGGCTGGTACCCCATCGTCGACGGCGACATCATCCCCGCCTACCCCACCGAGCTCCTCGCCTCAGGCCGTTTCGCACACATCCCGCATCTCTACGGCACCAACTCGGACGAAGGCACCGACAACGCGCCAGCCGGCGGCGTCATCAACACCGACGAAGACCTATACGCCTTCCTCGCCAACAGCACAGGTTTCGACTTGCCCGACGCCGTCATCAAGCGCATCATGGAATTGTACCCCAACGACCCCACCATTGGTATCCCGCTCAACACCGGCGTCGAGCTGTTCGCCGAACAGGGCCTTCAGTATAAACGCATAGCCGCCATCATGGGCGACGTCTTCTACCACGCGACCCGCCTGGCCGACGCCCGCGCTTACTCTAAGTACTCACCTACGTACATATACCGCTTCAACACACTCCCCTGGCAAAACAGTAACACAGCTAGCGAAGGCGGCAATCCGCGCGCTTACAAGGGCGTCGCGCACTTCACTGAGGTGGCTTTTGTCTTTGCTAATCCTAACTTCTATGGCCCTTGGGAGGAGTACAAGAAGCTAGCTGAGCAGGTGAGTGCGCAGTGGATCAGGTTTGTGGCGAAGGGGGATCCAAACGGTGAAACTCTGCCTAGGTGGCCAAGGTATAATGAGAGTGCGAAGGGGCTGGATCTTGTTCTTCAGGCGGAGGGGAGGGGGTATAATGGAAGTTATGTTGAGGAGGATGTTTGGAGGATTGAGGGGAGGGAGTTCTTAAACAAGTGGGCGAGAAGGAGACATGTGTAGAGTGGGGAGGTGGTGGGGAGAGAGGGTGTTGTGAAGATAGAGACTTGTTTAAGATGTGTAATAGTGTATGCACTGCGAGCAGATAGAAATTTAGAAGGAGTCTAAGTTGTTAAGTATGTTTGTTGCAAGTAACAAGTCTAAGAGAGAAGCAAGTGAGGTAAGAGCTATGTTAAGACATCAAGGCAGAGAAGAAGCAAGATGTGCGACCAAAGCAAGGCAAGGAAGAAGCTAAACATAGAAGGTAAGTAAGAAGTCAAGTCAAGAAAGAAGCAAGTGAAGCAAAGAAGAAGTCAAGTCAAAGAAGAAGTAAAGTGAGGTATTTGATGAATTCATTGAAGCTGAGGCGAAACCTTGAAGTATCCTTGAGAAGAAGTCCAACCCAGTATCCAACCAAAGTCCAACCAAGAAGCCCGAATCCACCAGCCATCAGCAAACCAATGTCCAAAACCTCAAAGCTAATCTAAACCCCAATCCAAACATCGACCACCGACTGCAGGCACTCTCACCTCAAGTCTCTCATACCTTTCGCATGCTGCATTTCTCGAATTGATCCAAACTCCTAAGAGCCGCCATCGAGAAGTGTGCAGGGGAATGATCTGGGCGAGCAAGCTCAAACTGGCGAAGAACTTCAAATCTCCAAGGTAGGCCCAGCTTAGTACCGAGGCACCATAGACTGTCTGTCCTCCAGCACCTTGATGTGAGAATGAAGTCTCCTCCAGATCATGTCCACCAGCCATGGGGTCTTGCCGAAGCAACCCTTGTAGGCTCAAAGCGAGATCCCATCGAGATCTGTAAAGTCCGTCTCTTACTGTCTTTGACCATTGTATCCTGCACTTCCCACCAGTATGTTTCCTCCACCAAAGTATTCAATCCATCCAAACAACTTGACTTTCGTGCGACCCGGGGTGTTGTGAACATGCGATGCTGGCCTGAAGAGGGCTTGGGGTGGATGCTGAAGAGCTCGATCGTGGCCTAGAGTGTAGGGCTTTGAGGAGGTTGGCGACGATGTTGAGCGAAGGTTGGAGCGATCCGAA